GTACTGATTTGAGTTTTGGTAAAGCTGGGCGCGAAACTGAGTCCCAATTTGAGCCTGGATTTGAGTCTGGGTTTGTGTTTTTCTTGGGATTTAAGTACTGATTTGCGTTTTTGTAAAACTGGGCGCCAAACTGACTTCCAATGTGAGTCTGTATATCATTTTTTGGAGGATGTTCCCAAAAAGAAAACCAAATCCAGATTCAAATCCACACTCAAATTGGGACTCAGTTTCGCGCCCAGCTTTACCAAAACTCAAATCAGTACACAAATCCTTAAAAAAAGAACACAAATCCAGACTCAAATTGGGACTTAGTTTGGCGCCCAGTTTTACCCTGTAGGTTCTGCACCCTAGCTACCTAGGTTCCTAGAGCCTAGGCTCCTGGTCGAATCAGAGATTGAATAAAAAACCCTCACCAAGTCACAAAGCAGCAATCACTGAGTCTCTGAGTGTTTTGCTGAGTCCGGATTTGTTTTTGTCCTCCGTTCAACCTTCTGCTATTTGAGTCTCCAGTTGAATGTATTTTTGTGTTTGGTTTTGAGTTCTGGTTTTGGGCTGAGTCTAGGTTTGTTTTTTTGAGTATTTTGTGTTTTGAATTGTTCATCTGTGTGTTAGTTAGGTTTCTTAACCCAAGAGAGTGGGTGTGTATGTGTGCGAAGGGCAAGCCCGCCTCCGTGTGACAAAGAAGGGGCCCTGAAAACTGCTCTGTTCTTGAGCATCTCTCTAGTTTTCCCACAAGCTGCCGACTACCTTCTAGATGGAGGGTCGCTTGACAAAACAGAAGCCTCCAAACCTTGTTCGACTGCTCCGCCCAAAGAAGCCTTCAAAAGGGCAACCTAATAGCGATGGCCCCCACCCTAGTAGTGATGGCCTCCAACCTAATAGCGATGGCCTCCTACCTAATAGCGATGGCCTCCATATTCCCAATTTTCTCAAATCCATGACCGTCTGTGCAATCCCAGTCGCTCCCGCATGCCCAGCTTTAAAGCCGTTTCTGCAAATGTCCTCCAACATTCTGCATCTCTTCATGAAAAGTTTCCAAGCTTGCGGAACGTTTGACAATAAAAGAAACTACGGGTCAAATATGAACCAAAAGTTCGTCCATGCAAAATGCATGCAACTTGATCTCAATGTAAAACCGTACTCGTCTATATATATTGACTTTAGAAGAACTGAAATTGATGAATTTAATATACAAACCCAGCCCAAAAACATCAATATCTTCTAAAATAGAATCATATATATATATATATTATAGTAATAGTAATAACAATAATAAAGCTCGAACAATATCTGCAGGAAGGCCAACAATAAAGTATATTATATAGCTATAACACCTGCAAAAATAGAGCCATCGTTCCAGCAAATCCCCCAAATATGTCAAGCCTTTCATTTCCCTTTCAGCTCCTTTTGCTTGCCTGTTGATTCTTTCGAATTGTAAGGTCCGAGGCCTGCTATTGCAGGAGAGTTCTTTGCCCCAGTTTTATTAGGAGGGGGTTTATTATTGCGATGCGCACACTATGGCAAAGTGCCACGCTCAACAGGACCCATTCTCCAAAAGGTTTCTCCTTGCGATGGTTGAATCTCAAACTATAAAATCACCCTTCACGGGGACAAATGTTGGAGGGAAATCGGATCTTGTCTTGTTTTCATAAGTGTCTACCATCTTGGTCCTCCACCGTCTGCCCAAAAGGGATTTCAGCAACAGGCAGCCACGCATGAAGCTGCAAAAGCCTCAACAGGGACAGGCCTCTCCCAGGGCAACATGGACGTCACACATGGGCAGCAGCAACATGTGACCTTCGCCATGGGCTGTTGCGGCATTGGTTCGAATCTAAGCCTCTAAGCGAACAACCGTTCCCCGTCCAGCTTGCCCAAAGAAGGCTTCCTAGAAGCCCACATTCGGTTAAACAGTGTGGTCACACTAGGGGCTCTCACGGTAGTTGTTAAGCGCCGGTCTTTAATCGAGGTGTTGCACAAGGGCGTTTGGCTAACTCGCTGCTATTTACAGCTGTTTACAGTACATCCATGCCTCTCGTAATCCTCGAAGTGCATTTCGACTGCGCAGGCTCGCAAAATATGGTTGGCCGCGGCGGGTGCTTGCCGGAACTGCGCTCTCAGCTGTGGTGCCGTGCGCATTTTCGGACATGGTGGTCACTTTTCGTGGCAGGCGCAAGGGAAATCTCATGTTTTGGTGGTCCAAAGCCGACTTTTCGTGACAGGCGCAAGGGATCGGACCGGCGTTACTTTGAAATGCAGATTCCGTGGCAGGTGCAGCACTTTGGATTTCGTGACAGGTGCAGTGAATCGTGACTTTTGGACACGTGGGTCGTTTTCCGAAATCAACGGATGTCTCGCGCGAAAGCTGCATGTTGATATCTTGACGTTGTGCTTGGAAGCACTCTTGCGGTAAAGCGCCTTGGCAAAGCTGCGCGATGTGAATCTTGAAGTGCAGATTTCGTGGCAGGCGCGCCACTTTGTGAACCTCAAAGTGCAGATTTCATGGCAGGCGCGCCACTTTGTGAACCTCGAAGTG